CATAGAAAAGACTCAAAATGCCTGAGGAACTGGCCGCACCAAAGGCAGACTGTGCCCCTGATGCCGTGCCCCAGAAATGCCAGCGGCCCGTACCTTCTCAGGCTTCGTCTCAGATCCTCGGCGGTCCCACCACGCCAGGTTCTCCGGGCGCGTCTGAGGGCCCAGACGCCTTTGGAGACCCGATGAGGAGCAAGAACCCAGAAGCAATTCGATCTCCAAGAATCGGCTCCCCTGTCCTTTTTCCCGGGTGCATGCGTAAACAACACATTTTAAATTGACGGCTAATGGCACAATGTATTGAACCCTGGCCCACCATTCCTAATTCTCTGTTGTGACTTTAAATTCCTCTGAGCCTGTGATTTCTCAGGTGTACACCGAGGGGCTTGCGCGACCCCGGGGGCGTAATCTCCCTTCCAGCGATAAAAGACCGTGACTAATTGACATTAAAAGAACTTTCCGTTGCAGAATACCCAATCCCCTCCCCTCTCATTAAATAAGCCACTGTTACATGGGACAGTATGTCCGTGTTCAATGAATTAGTTCATATGCTCTGTCAAGTGTCTCCTATAAGCCACGCACCTTGTCCTCTTCTTCCAACGTATATGAGTTAAGTGAACCCGTTGGTGACTCAGATAAAAGTCTTGAGGCACCCGTGATCAAAAGCGAGTGAGCAGATTTCCCACCCCTCCATGGACACGGAGGGGCTTGGCAGCGGTGACACCGCCACGGGGCTCGGCTTCTGCACGGCGGGACGTGGTGCAGAGCCTTGCAACAGGAGCCCTCTCCCCCAGAAAGCCCACCGCATAATCCAGGGCTAAGTTTCCACCCTGTCCCAGGTTTCTAACTCGAGCTGAGTCTACTTCAAAAGAAGGAAAGCTTGTTTGGCCTAATACCCATGAAGCCTCGGTTTCAGGAATGTGACATGCTGTTAAACCACAGCCGTGTAAGCTTGCGGCCACTGAGATTTTCCAAGGATGAAAGTTTCACTTTTCAAAGAAAAAAACATGGCACCGCAAAGCTGGAGAGACGTAGGTGACCGGTGTTGACTGGCCCTGAGAAGCTGTCTCCCAAAGAACACCTACTGTGTGTGGGCGTGTTCTGGGGGAGGCCCGGGAGGCCCAGGAGAGGGGGTTCAGTTTACAAGGAGGAGACACAGTTGCTACTACCTTGGACTAGCTCTCAGGAGGCCGAGGGCGAGGACAGCTGGGCAGAGGCCGGGAGTAGCACGTGGCATTGGGGAGGCTGGGGAGCACTAAGGAGAGTGGCAGGGTCCTCCCCTAGGCGCTAGGTCAGGTGGATGGTCAGCATGGCACAGCGGGGAGAAGCCCCAGGCTGGAAGCTCTTGGTCACAGGGCGGGAGAGAGCGTCCCCAGCAATCAAATCAACACCGGGGACTCAGTGTCTCTGTGAGGTCACATGTCAGGCCCCCTGTGCCCCCCCTGTGCCCCCTGGCTCCATGGTTTGCCAGAATGATCAGTGAGAGCTGCCCAGTGCCAACTGGAAGATGATGCGGGGCTGTCCCGGCTCCCTAGATTGGAGTTAATCTGCATTTCCAAGCCAAGTGTGGATCTGGGGGACTGAATTAATGCATACCAAATCTCAGAGAATCACAACTCTTCAATTTTGTAAAGGAACTTGGGGGTCATTGAACCTAACTTCTCTCCCTCTACGCCCGAATCCTGATGCTGGGTTAGTTTTCCAGTTTCTGTTTGGATGCCTCCATGGACAGGGAGCTTGCTCGCCCAGGAGATAACCTGTGTCATCACGGAAGGGCTCTAGTTGCCTCAAAATGTTTTCCTTATATGGTGCTAACTTCTTCCTTCTAACTCACCCTCCTGAGTGCATGCTCCGTCCTTTGAAACAGGTCTGAACCTGTATTTTCTGCAACACCCCTTGAACTATTTGAAGGCAGGGCCACCAAAACCTCTCTAAACATCCCTCATTCCTTGCATGGTACTTCTGTGGGATGGCTCCCAGACCTTCGAAACACGTGCTCACCCCACCCCCACTTTCCAAAACCGAGAGCCATTTTCCAGAGATACTGAGAGCAATGTAGGTCGGATTGTGGGCTGTCTGTGGGCAACGCTGGAAACCTGAGCCAGCTGGCCTCAAAGGCCACAGATGGTGGCCACTTCAGGAACTAAATGATGATCCAGATCCACACAGCCCAGGGTGACTCTTCCAGAGGACCCAGGCAGCACGGGCTAGGCCTGAGGCTGAGTACTTGCAAGCCAGGGAAATCTGTAGCCTCTCACTGTTTTGGGGTAAAAGCAGACCCTGGGTTGGAGTCCGTGGATGCTGGACTTCATGGACACTGGTGGGGAAACCACTGGGCCCTGAGCTTGGCATAGAAGGGAGAAGCCCGCCCCCTTGTGGACCTCTGGAGGGTGGCAAGGTGCGCAAAGCACCCTGAAACCTCACAGATGAGAAGGGGTCTGGCAGAGTAGCTGCTTCCTGTCCCTGCCCCCATTTTACCAGCTGCTTCTGGCAGCCTGCAAGAAGGGTGATCTGGACTGTCACGGGGCAGGGGAGTGGTAGCAGGGGACACAACGGGAAGTTAGGAGGTGGAGACCCCGGGGTATAGTTGTCAGGCCACAGAAAGTTGGAGATAAATCAGGCAGGTGTTGAAAAAAGAAAGGAAAAAAGGGGGAGGGGGAGGCTGCAGGAGGCCTTTCCTGGTTCTGCCACTCCCTGGGTGGCCTCCGGCAAGCCACAGTCCCTTACTGGGCCTCCCAGGGCTGAACTGGGTGAAGGTTGCATCCCTCTGAAGACTGACACATTAAGAGACCCAGCTGGAGGCTTTCAGCGGCCAGGACAGACAATAGTCTGTCACTGGTGGCACCACATCCAGCGAGGACAAGAGGGGATGGCAGGTGGCCAGGGCAAGGGCACATGAGGAACAGGAGGCAGGGGGCACCAACTCCACCAGCGTGGCAGGCCCACCAAAGCCCCGCAGGGCGCAGGGCCCTTCCAGCATGCAGCAGGAAGCCCCAAGGAGTCATTCCTCACAGGGGGTCTCCCCTCCTTCTGTACCTTGGGCCAGCCTTACCTCTAGAACCGTGACCTTCCTGAAATGTTTCTCCACTGGGTGATGCCCGGACACTAACCCAGAGGTGTCTGTGTCGTAAAATGTGCCTGCCCCGGCTAGACATGACCCAGGCCTAGTGAGTGTGCAACGCGGCAGCCTGCAAACACGTCTTCGACCTCACACTCAAACGCTTCCAAACTGCCTTTACTCAGCACCATGCCTACTATCAGAGATTGGGTTTTGACCATCTTTGCGAGGTAAATTCGGAATGACCCTGTAACCGATGAGCACAGCTGGGTGAAATGTAACCTGGGAAACTCAAGCCAGAAGCGCTTTCCTCAAAGCTCTCCGGATAAAAAATGGAGATGGATTTAAGAAATTGAATTCTATGCTAAAATGGTTCCAATTCTTTTCTGCAGATGCTCGCAGAGACACGCGGTCAGGGAGTCACCGAAGACGTTATTTTAAAATGCTTAACTGTCCTCTGGCAAATTGAAAGATATTGAAACCCTTATAAAATGGCCTTTTTAAAAATTACCTGAAGTAATGTCCTCAGGCTAGCGTGCTCCTAGCTGAAAGCATCTGGGGCAAACGTTAGGAGGGGAGGGGTTGTCTTGCACACCAAGGTGCCCTAAAGCTTTGGCTGAAACTAAGTAAGCCTGTAATTTTTCATTAAAAAAATAAAAGCATTATTAGGTTATTATAAGACATTTTAAGTTATTATGTAAACACCCTTTAAAAATTAGAGGATTCCAGGAATAAGTACAATCTAAGTTCCCCCTAAAAAATAAAGTCAGGTACAACATGTAACTCTAATTGTAGACAGAACCCTTTGCAAACACCTATTTAGACCACCCAGTTTTCTGCAGTATTGCCAAATTCTAACATTGTAATGAAAATTTTAAAGTCCAAAACCTACAAGCCATCAGAGGTTCAGTAAGCAGATTGTGCCATTTCCAAACTGAAAATGTGCTTGCCTAAGCAAGTCACTGGGGCTAACCTTTCTGGATGGGGAGTCTGGCCTTCAGTTGAGAACATGGCTATGCCAGGGTCAGAAATGTGACCAAACTGCGCTTTCGCCGAGGTTAGCCAAGGTTCACAGGGTCATGACTGGGCCATTTTATCAGTCATGTCAGGCTCACACCCTATTGCCTGGCATAGATAAAAACTTTATCTGTCAGCTTGGTAAATCGACTCCTCCTGCCTTATTTTCAATAAAGAAAACCTGGACTAGCTCATCTAAATCAGTTCCGGTACTGTTTTTCACAGGCGACTGCTGGTCTCATTTCGGTCAGTAACTGTCCGTGATCAGAGTGACCGGCTTTCTCTTGCCTGGATCCTTCAGGAAAACAGTGCTGGCACTATGCAACAACATAGATTTATTATGGTTATTAAACATAATAAGTTTATGGCTGAAGGTGTTAGAGTATGATAGTTCTCAAAGTATTACCTTTGCAAATCCATCTATCCCTAACGCAAATCGAGCAAAAAAAAAAAAAAAAAAGAATCTAAGATTAACTTCCATAGGTATTTCTAAATAGGGTATCTAAACCATAGAAACCTTTACAAACTTACCTTTGCACTAACTCACACACACATACATTATGTTTTCTAATGACGTTGAAGAGAAATAACAGCTAAAGTTTCTTCCTCACGAGAAAATAGATATGCACAGATAACAAAGCCATGCACGCGGACACATCCATATCTGTCTGGTTAAATATACAAATATAAAACCAGGGAGCTTCCCCCCCACAGGAATCTTAAATGCCAGACAAGCACCTTCAGATTTTTCTTTATTTGGAAACTATCCAAGTTCATTATTTTAATATTTAAAGACTGTGGTACTGTAGTAGAGACACATAAATATTATAATATACATTTAGAAATTAAATATAATAGAATCAACATGACACTGTGTAAAACCTCATGTACGCTTCAAACAGGTCTGAGTTCCGGGCCCTTGCGCTCCTCAGATCTCCCCCTGGAAACGGGTGAACTTCGCAGGGAGACCATCCACGGGGTACACGGTGGGACTGGTTTTCATTGTAGGAGGTCCATTTAGAAGCTGCCATTCACAATGCCTGGCCAGCTCCACTGTAAATATTTTGAGCAGAATTTTTGCAAACTCCTTCCCTACACAGCTCCTCAGCCCTCCTCCAAATGGAATGAAGCTGAACCTGGACGCATCCTCCGGGTGAGGCAGCAGGAATCTGTCAGGATTAAATTCATCCTTGTTGGTGAAGATGTCTGCCACGTCGTGAGTATCACAGATACTGTAGATAACATTCCAGCCCTTGGGAATCTGGTAACCCTGCAAAAGATTAGACAGCCCCCAGGGCTGACAAACCCCAATCCAACTTTCAACAACAACAAAAAGCCATCACTGATAACCAGAGGAGTTATGAGTTGCAGAAAAGGGGGCGTGAGGAGAGAGACAGGACAGACCTTCAGACTACCGAAACACGTGTCCACATGGGCCAGGGTAATGCTATCAAAAGGGTAAGCAATGTAAGCCAATGCACAGGGAAACGAAGGGGAGGTTTAAAACCACAACACAAGGAGTTGGGAGTGGGGGGCAGTGGGAAGAGAACTTTGAACTTACATTTAATTCAAAAGTCTTAAGAGCAACCCGAAACCCTCCTGGAACTGGGGGATTCAGTCGAAGGGTCTCTTTAATAACACACCCGATGTATTTAAGCTGTTCCAAAATTTCCATGTCCAACTTGTTGTCTTGATTGCTCTTGCAAAGTAAACCCTATCAAAACAGTCATACAGAGGTGAACGGTTATTTTGTGCTCCAATAAAATCAGCCCAGCAGACGTAAACAGGGCTTAAGTGGCGGCTAGACCCAAAGGGCCCCAGGATGGGAGAGGGTGAGGGTGAAACTATGAGCGGCTAACGACCATTTGCCTCCACCCCTTGGCCCAAATCCACTATTTACAATTCCAAGAGAATGCTGCTCCCCACTTAGAACTACCTGGCTTCCCCACCCCACCCCACCCCACCCCCATCACCACCACCACCACCACTATCACCGCCACCTAGAAGTCCCCATTCATGCCCTTGAACACACAAATTCAAGAAAGTAGAATCTATCTGAACATCTCCCACATACTGCAGAAAGTGGAGAAGGGGTAGGAATACAAGAATTAAGCCCTGCGGGAGTGGGATTACAGCTCAAAGTTCCTTCCTTTTTATTCACAAAGCTAATTCTCTTTCCAAATTGGCCCACCCACCCCCTGGGCCCTACACTTTCAAAATACTCAGAGAAGGCAGCACACTTACATACTGGCAAATTGGCTAGGGAGCAGCTGAATTTCTTAATTCCCCCTACCTTACTCTTGAGCTCCTCTCGAACTTTCTGGAGAACATGGGGGTAGAGGCCAAGGTAAGTAATCAGAGATGTGGCTGCACTAGCTGTGGTTTCATGTCCCCCAAAGAGGAGTTCAGTTGAAGATTGCTTTAGTGCCTAAGAATGGAATAAGACAAACGTTTTTCTTTTTACATGTCTGCATGCAATTTTACACAGCAATTACTTAGAACCGAACTGAAGGTTCTGGAAAGAAGATGAGAAGGGCTAAAAGTTCGCTGACAGAAAGCCAAGGAAAGCTACTTTTTTTTTTTTTTTTTTAAACAAAATGCATAGTCTCTTTAGTTCTGCTGGAGCAGGAAAACCAGTAAAATCTCACTACACCGGGAATTCTTTTTTTTTTTTTTTTAAGATTTTATTTATTTATTTGAGAGAGAGACAGTGAGAGAGAGCATGAGTGAGGAGAAGGTCAGAGGGAGAAGCAGACTCCCCATGGAGCTGGGAGCCCGATGCGGGACTTGATTCCGGAACTCCGGGATCATGACCTGAGCCGAAGGCAGTCGTCCAACCAACTGAGCCACCCAGGCATCCCTACACCGGGAATTCTTTTTTTTTTTTTTTTTTTTTTTATTTGACAGAGAGAGAGATCACAAGTAGGCAGAGAGGCAGGCAGAGAGAGAGGAAGGGAAGCAGGCTCCCTGCTGAGCAGATAGCCCGATGTGGGGCTCGATCCCAGGACTCCGGGATCATGACCTGAGCTGAAGGCAGAGGCTTTAACCCACTGAGCCACCCAGGCGCCCCACACCGGGAATTCTTGAATGAAAGCCTTGGTTGTATTAAAATCGGGCCAACATTCTTTATTTACATTTTGCAAATTCCAGCTTTCCCTGTAAAACCTGGTAGGGCTATGGGACGCTCCCTGTTCCGCAGCAGCCTCTCCCGCAGCTCTGTGGACCCGGTGTCTCAACCTTCCGGGTCCCATCCCGGGTGTCTGGGCGGTCTGCCCCCTCCGGAGTCCCGACGTGCGCTTTGGGGTAGCCGCGCTTGGAAAGCCCGGGGACCAAATTCCGCAGCGCCTCTTCCTGAAGTCGCCACTCACCTGCATGTCCAGCCTCTCCCCCCTCTCCCACGAGTGCTCAATCAACAGCTGCAGCGCATCTTTGCAGCCGCCGCCCGCGCCGGCCGTCCGCAGCCCGCAGATCTTGGCGCGAACGTTCTCCTCTATGCGTGCGTGGATGAGGTTCCGCGCCTTCATGCCCTGAGCGCGGAGAGCGGCGGCCGTGAGCGGACCCCGGGTCCCCGCGCCCCCGCGCCCCCCAGCCTCCAGCTCCTCACCCCGCACGCCCCCTCACCCGGTACAGCCCGCTGAAGGGCACGTCGATGGGCAGCGAGAAGAGATTGCGGGTCATTTCCTCGAAGGCCTCTACCAGCTGCTGCTCTGCGTCGCCGCCGCTAGCCAGCCGGGGCTCACAGCCCAGCAGAATGCGCATGGCGATGCGGAACATGAGGCGCTTCACCTGGGGGTAGACCAGGAGGCCGCGCTCGTCGCCGCTCAGCCACTGTTCCAGGCAAGTGCCCACTTCCTCGGCGATCACCGGCACGTAGCACTGGAGCGCCTCGCGGCTGAAGGCCCGCATAATCACCTGAGCTCCGAGGAGGGCAAGTGTTAAAAGCGCTCCCGTGGCCTTCCGGGATCCCCTTCTAGCCACCCTCACCCCCGCCAGACACAAGGCACTTCCCGACTAAAGTGGCCTTGAGCGGGTCACCTCACGCAGCTAGCGCTCTCTGGGCACCTAGATCCTCCAACCCCTCCACCGGACGGGGTCCCCCTTCCAGGCCAGGCAGCGCCACCCCGCCCTCACCTTCTTGCGCTGCTTGTGCGAGGAGTCGTGCAGGTTGGAGAGGCAGCCGGAGCCCAGGATGGTGCGCACCGACGCGGGCCAGTGCACCGACACCAACCGGTGCTCCCCGAGCAGGATGCGCCGCACGTTGTCGGCGCCCATCACCCGCACCGTGGGCCGTCCGAACAGATGCGTCTTGTAGATGAAGCCGTATTTCCTGCGCTTCATCTGCAGGAACTTCCTTCGCTGGGAGAGGAGAGCGGAGGAGAGAGGCGGGCGTGAGGGGGCGCCGGGGAGCGCCGCGCCTCGGGCTAGCCCGGGTCCTGGCCGGAGTCACTTCTCTCTCCGGGGACGCCTATCCCGGCGGCGGGACGCCCGGAGCCGAATCGGGCTCCTGAGAATCGTCCCGTCCCGCCCAAGCTCCCTTACCTGCAGCACCATCTGCAGTGTCTCCCCGAAGAAGGGGAAGCCCATAGTTCCGGGGGGCAAAGGGAGGGCGCAGCTGCGGTCGCGGCTGCTCACGCAGTACAGGTCCCAGAGCTTGATCGCGGCCAGGAAGAGCAGCAGCGGTAGCACGAAGGTGCAGAGCGCACTGGCCAGCAGCGCCGGGAGCCCCATGGCGCGCCGCGGCCTCCCGCGCCACCTGCCGCCGCCGCCAGCGCTCCGAACCGCGCCGCGCGCCCGCTTTATAGGCGGCCCAGGTTACTGCCCGCGTTAGCTTGGTCAGACAAATTAGTTCACCCGAAGTTCATCTTTAATTGCGGATTGGGCCCCTGGCTCCTCCCCCCGCGAGGCGCTGCCCAAAATCTTTAACCGTTTGTTCCACGCCGAGGCAGAGGCGGCACGGTGGCGGCTTCCCCCGGAGCGCGCCTCCTGGGGTGCGGGGCTAGGGGCAGCCTGCCTCCCCCTTACAAGGTGTGCGGAGCTCCTAGGCGGCGGCAGAGGCCGACCCGGGCTCCGGGGAGCGGGAACTCCAAGCCCTGGGCTTCCTGGCGGTCTCTTTGGAACCCCCACCCCGCCCCCGCCTTGTCCCACGGGCGGTCCCAGCCCAGAGCTGCCTTCAATGGCTTTCCATTTTCCGGCGCCTCATGGGCTCCTTTCCACCTGCTGGGGAAGCAAAGGGAAGTGCGTTCAGGAACCGACTAGCTGCCAAGTCTCACACTGGGGAAACTGAGGTCCAGAACGCCGAGCAAAACTCAAACCTCCCAGCTCTCCCAAAGATCCCGCAGAAGAGCCCAGGGCCACGACCTAAGCCAGAGCAGGCGGTGGGGGGAGTCAGATCTGATCCACGGATGATTCTGGATTCCAGTTCCCAAACCCCTCAAGGAGGCCAGGGCTCATGAAGTCCTAGAAGGTCCGCCTTAAAGGTACAAAAGAGCCTCCAAGTCCCTCAGGACTCCAGGTGCAACCCTGCACAGTCTGAGCCCCAGCTCTGACCCTCCAGTGGGAGACCGAGGGACAATTCATCCTCCCCGAGACAGCCAGAGCTCTGCAAACCGGCCATAGTCGGCCTGATTCCAAGGGCCCTGGGACTCCCAGCCCCAGCTAGGCAGAGGGGAGGAGGATCCTCAGACCTGGGCAGTTAAGGTGAGGCGATAGAGGAAGGAAAGCCTGGGAGTCTGCACTCGGGGGCCGGCTCCATCTCCACTTGCGTGACCTTGAGCAAGTCACCACACATCCTTGCGCCTGTTTCCTTCTTAATACGGAGGCAGTAATTCCCCATCTGTCTACACCCCGGGGCAGTTGTGAGTTTTGGAAAGGGTCACCTGGCTGCAAATACTTTTCCCGGCTCTGCGCACTCTAGAATGATTACCTCATGCGGATGACCTGGACTCGGGGCCCACGAGCCTTCCTCCGCTCTCCCAGCTCCCACCGACCGAAGCCACCCAGGTGAGCGGGGTGCTCGACCCACCACCCAGGCCTCTGCCGGCCCCTAATGGGAGCGTTGAGGGAATCTCTACTGGGAAGCACGTCCGCCGGCCTTCGCCCAGCTGCAGTCGGCTGCTGTGCTACTGCAGCCAGTGTGGGGAGCTCGGACACCGCGGGAAGGGCACGTGCGCACCCCACTTCCCACCTGGCCGGCCCACACGCATCCTTGTTTGGAGCGCGGAAAGCACCAGCGGCGCGGAAAGCGAAACAGAATGCAGTACGTTTGTTTAAAACTAAACTCCGGCTCTTGCAGGAGCACGCCGCACGCCTTGGAAGGTTTCCCTTGTAAGTGGAAAACTCTTTGATCCGAAGAGCTGTTAAATATGTGGCCCTCCCGCGGCCGTCCCCAAAGCCGGCGGGATTGGAAAATGTCCGTAGCGTGGTCGGGACCGCGCAGTCCCCACAACGCTCCAAGCCGGAGTCGCCACAGGGCTTGTTCGGGACTCGGAGTTTCAGAGGCTCTAGGGAAGGGCCTCTCCCACTGTCATTTCTTCTCACGTTTTGGCGACTGCGAACGATGCCAGCCAACTTCTGGGCACTGGCGGGAAGGAGGCAAGACGCGCTAGAATTCTCAGAAATCCTACTCCCGCCCCTTTCTAGACCGCGCTGGGGCTGGTGAGCAAAACCCGCGAGCGGGGGCGTGACCTGGGGCCCATTCCCAATCCTCTGGCCTGACCTGCCTGTGACCCCTGCAGGCCGGACCGTGACATCCGAGTGAACTCTGCAGGGCCACCTCGCCAAGTTCAGCGCGCGCCGGGTCACAAGATGAGTGGGGCCTGCGTGCTGCAAATTGCCGGGGGAGGGGGAGAGTTTTAATAAATCTGCCCTTCGAGACCCGCGGGGGCGTCCGGCAGGAAGGGATTAAATGTGAGCGTGAAGATCATTAAAGAACATATTGAATGGAGGAAGGGGTCAATAAATTATCAGCCCGATAAGAACTTTGATTAGAAAACTTGCAAGCTCTCTTGGGTGATGGTGGGCGGGGAGGAGGACTGGTTCATTGGAAAACAAAATATTTCCAAGATGTTTACAAAACAGCCTCCCTGTTGCTAAGGGTTGGGGGGTGGGGGGTGTTTGTTTTGTTTTTGCTGGAGGGGGGAGTGAGGACCCAGAGGTAGATGGGAGTCAGGTGAGCTCCCACAGCTGAAGATCCCCTCCTCCACCTTTTCCCCTCCAACCCCTTCCTCCTCCTGAGCACTCATTCAGGTCTGGAGGTGCAGGGTTTCCTACCTGGTGTTTCCTCTGCTGGGGGAGCACCTTCCCCAGGTCACCGCTGGCTGGTTCCTTCCCAAGCTGAATGCCACCTCCTCACAGAAGGAGGTTTCCCACCCTGCAGAGTTTGGCCCCCAGGTCCTATATCTTACAGACCTGTTTTACTCTCTTGAGAGCACTTAGCCCCATCCGGCATTCTGGAGCTCTTTGTTTGCTAGTTTATTGTCTACAGGAGGGCAAACACCAGAATGCTCCTTCCTCAGAGAATCTGGAGCTACTAAAACAGGAGTCCCAGTGTTCCCTGAAATTACTGAAAAGGACATTATCAATGGGAAAATGAGCTGCCCCTACAGGAGCTTATAGTTAGTACAGATCCCGGAACAGGTAAACCAAGTCTCTGGGAACCACCTACACCATGGGGGCTTCCGCAAACCTCCTCCCCACAATGCTCTTCTCTTCCCCCAATCAGAATCAGCCCCAAGCCCTGGTCCTCTGGTCCCCTCTCCCTCGGTGGGAGCTTCTCAGCCAGGGCGTGGTCTCTGCAGCCTCAGGAGCGCCCTGAGGGCAGGCCTCAATTCTGCCACTTTTGCTGGCTCCAGTGCCTGCTGAGCCCATGGCCCAGTGCCGGGTCTGTGGTCAGCAGTGGGTGATGAATTGCCCTGGATGGGGGTTACAGCCGTGTCAGCCGAGCTCGGAAGGGCCCGCTGAGCTCTTGAGCTACCGACCCTGCCTGCGCCTGCTTCTTCCCCTCTTCCTTCTGGCCCCGGGGATCCACCTTAAGCATAAGGTCAGGAGGGCACCAGCTTCCTTCTGGTTCACTAAAGGGTCAGCTCGGGGGCCTGGGCGGCAACTTCCCCGGCTCACCCATCATGTCCAGCTGCCCTGGACTGTCTGAAGATGGGTGGCAGGTTGCACTGGGCTGTTGGAAAGGGTGACACTGGAGGCTCTTGGCTTTGATTTAAACACTGGTGGAAACCTCTGTGTTGGAGTCTTTAAGCCAACCTGGGGATCACTGTGAAAGGACAAAGGACTGGGCCGTACCTAGTGGCCGCAGGCCCAGAGGCTGGAGCAGGGAGTAAGTGATGAGGTGGAGGAGAGCCCTGGCCAGGGAGTCCAGGAGCCCACTGGTAGCTCCTCAAGGAGCTGCCTGTTTCTCCTCTGCAAAAGAGGAGGTGGAAGTAGTAAACCGGAAGGTCCCTGCAGCCACCTATATATTATAGGGATAATTCTCAGCCCAGCTCTTGGGCTATGCTCAGGAGGAAATCTCTGGCATACTCTTGGGAGGGGAGGCTTTCCTGGGTATCCTCCAACTCCTACCCCACACCTTCCCACCAGGGAGCAGCTGCCCAGCTAAGCCCTAGTCACCCCACAAAACCGCTGCCCGGAAACTTTCTTCTTGGCCTTCCTGTTTTGGGTAGAAATATCCCATCCCTCTCTGATGATGTCTCAGCCTCCCAGGAAAATAATTCAACCTTAGAGACATCTCTCTGTGCCTATTCTCCCCTGTATATATGGGAAGATTAAGCGCATTCCTGAAGTTGGAATTTTTAAGAAGTCGCCAGCACAGTCAGTGATGTTGAGCCATTTTACAGCCCTGGAAGCTCCCACAGTTCTCAGTTTCCGCCGAGACAGCCGGGCAGGGTGGCCTCGGCACACCAAGCCCAGGTGGGCTGCCCCGGGGGCCTTCTACCGGGCGCCTTTTCGGTGTGTCTTCCTATGGCCCCAAAACCAGGCGGGAGATGCGGTTCCTCCCAAGGGTTGCAGGTCCAGCCGCGTTCGCTGGGTCTCTGGCACGGTCCAGTCCTGCCCTAGCAATGCTCCCCGCCACCTCAAGATCCAGGCGACCTCCCGGCCCTGGCGCCGGAAGCGAGTGCCCGCGTCACCTAGGGAAGATCTGTTCCCTTCGTCGCTGCTTGGAGATCCTGAGAAAGGGAGGCTAGGCTCACGACCTTCCCTTCCTCAGGGCGCAGAAGGCAGCTTCCCGCCAGCTTCCCGCGGCTCGGGCTCGCGTTCCTCCTCCCTCGAAGTCTGGCGTAGAGCTGCCTTCGGTGACCGTATGTTGAACGAGTGAGCGAGCGCCCGAGGCGGCACTAGGAAACCGCAGAGGGGCGGCACTCACAGCGCGCGGGGGCCGGGGGCCAAGTCCGTCCCGAAGCCCAGCGGGTCAGAGGCGTAGCCCATCTCGCGCTGCCGAAGGCGCGAGCGGATGGAAAAAGAGCCGCAGCCCGTCGGCCGGGTGCACGATGGGCACGGTCTGCATGGCGGGGAAGGCCGGCGTGGCCAGCTCCCAGCGCGCCGTGCGCACCAGCTCCACCGCCAGCAGCTGGAGCACCGCCTGTGCCAGCTCCTGGCCGAGACAACTGCGCGCTC